TCATTAACTCTGATTTGCAGTGGTGCTAGCGGAGCTATTGACGAGGGGACGACTTGGTTAGGATCTTGGACAGTCGTTTGGAGGCGTGTGGTTAGGTTGAGGTGCTTACCGGGAAGTGATGCGAGTTGGAAAACTTGTCGAGGAGTGCTTAGCGTGCTCGTCAATATAGGCCGAGTGTGAGGAAAGTCGCATTGGATAGGGATTTTTTAATATTTTTATTCCACCTTCATAACTATTAAAATTACATCTATCATTCCTCTCCTCAACCCATTTGTTTTTGGCAGAGTCAAAGAAACGGAAACACGCCCATCGTCGACAACGCACGTCATAAGGTCTGACTTGTTGAAGGTTTGTCAACGGATCCGACGTCACAAGAGCTTCTCCGCCTTCACCACGCACTACCGGCGGGAGGCTTGCATCCTTAGCACTATCCTAATCGTCGCCAACCTCACCTTCGATTCGAGATCTATGTACGGTTCCTTCCTCCCTCTGTCGGTGTGGCCAGCCGCCTTGATGCTCAACATGTAACAGCCTTGAGATTAAATTTGTGGTTTGGTAATTTAGGGTTGAGCAATTTTTATTTTTTTTTTCTTTTGTTGTAGGAATTTCATTGATTGATCTTTGGATCTATGAATTACTGGGATTTGTTTTTAATTTATGTTCAATTTTCCTTTGGTATTTAAAAGAGGCTCTAAAATTATTACCCATGATTGAAATTTTGATCGGATCTTGAGTTCGGGTTTATCTGTGATTTATCTGTGGTTTTTTGTTGGTTTATCTGTTGGTTTATCTGTGGTTTTTTGTTGGTTTATATGTGTTTATTTGTTGGTTTATCTGCGGTTTATCTGTGGTTTTTTGTTTGTTTATCTGAGGTTATACTTATTTATTTATATGTATATATATATATATATGTAGTTTATCTGTAGTTTTTTGTTGGTTTGTCTGTGGTTTTTTGTTGTCTGTGGTTTTTTGAATCCCGAGCTCGAGCTTCAAAAATTTCTCTCTCGATATGATTTCTTCATTTTCTGCTATGTATAATAAACTAAAGATAAACTGAAAATAATCTAAAAATAAACTTAAGATAATTTGAAAATAATATAAAAATAAACTTAAGATAAACTGAAATAATCTAAAAATCAATTTTTTTTTATAAAGTATGAGATAATATAATAAAATTAAGATAAACTGAAAACAATCTAAAAATAAACTTAAGATAAACTATATTTAAATTTAGATTTGGAAGTTAAAATAAATTATTTTTAAACATATTATTTTTATAAAAATAAATTTTATTATTAGCTAAATACTTTGTTGAAAAATATTGATAATAACTTATATACAAATTACTGAGAGTATAAGATAATATCAAATATTAAATATTAATGGAAATTGGAGAGAGAATTAAATTCATACCTTAGAGGGAATAAAATATATGGGATGTAAATATTAATGGTAGTTGGAGAGAGAGTGGATTGAAGTTAAGATATATTGAACGCTCAATTAGTCAATGCAGTCACATAATTTTGAGGAATGAATATCTTATAGTATTTATAATTCTCGATTTAATGACATTAAGCTTCTCAAATTTCTCAAAAGTGGTATAACTTCTGAAGTCTCGTAAATTGGCCTAGTCATTTTTAAACTCTCCTCATGATGTACTTAAGCCAAAAAAAAAAAAAAAGTGTTCCGATTTTAAAAGAAACGTCCCAATAAAGAAGTGAGCCCAATTATTATCACATAATTATTATTAGTAAGTGTAAAATGAATTTTGGATTTTTTTTACTATATTAAGTTAATATCAAATTTTTTTTATGCATATATAGAAATATTATATTATAATTAAAACTTATTAAAAATCAATATATATATATAAGGAAAATACTATAAAATATGTATAGAAATGTGAAAAATATTTACAAATATATTAAAGTCCTAGGTGAGGTCGATGAAGGAGTGCCCGAGGTTTGGATGGTCGAGGATGAGTCCTTGAGGACAAGGACATTCTCAAAGGGGCGGGAATGATACGGAAGTGGGTTTCTAGCCCCGGCAACGAAAAGGTCCAAGACCCGAGACGACCCAAGGAGGCTGAAAATAGGGGCAAAACGATGCATGCATGGCCTAAAAGACGGGTACGAGCTCGTATGCGAGGCACAAAAGCCCAAGGCAAGCGGCACGAGTCGAGGCAAACATGGGGTAGTCAACGGGAGTCTCGCACTAAGGAGCGAGTACGCACGAGAGGGACTAGCGCGTTCACAAAGCCACGATCACGAAGAAACTGCATGAGCCAAGGGTCTACCACACAAGGGTCGACTACACGAGGGTCGAGCATGAGAGGGTCGAAGCTCGTAGGTCAAGGGATAGCGCGCGACCAAGCACGAGGAGGAGTCCGCGGGTTGGACGTGCGATTACACGGGATGACCAATGAAGGTTGCGCAAAGGAAAGGCGAGCATGGCGCTTGAAGGCTAGGCGAAGTGGTGCGCATGGGGATGTTGTTGGGTGGATGGCGCGCGAGGGAGGTTGCTGTGGATGGACGGGCGCACATCGAGCGATGGGCGATGCGCGGGCATTGGGCGCGCTGGACGACGAGCGCGGGGCGCAAGGCGACACGCGCGAGGCACAAGTCAAGACCAAGGTGACAAGCTTAATCCTCATAGGAATAGACAAGGCGCGAATACTAAACCCCGCAGGAATAGGAAAAGCAGCTGAGTGCCGGAAGGCGCGTGAAAGATCGGTGACAGGAGTTATCCTCGGAAGATCAGGTAATGTAACTGGGAGCATATTCCTAGTAGGAATAGGCACAGTGGATATGGGCTCGAAGCATGGTCCTACAAGGAATAGGAATGGCGCATGTAGGGCGCGAGGCCTTAAGCCTCGAGGCGAGAGGACATGCACGCATGGGCGGAGGCGGCGCGGCCCTAGTCCTCGAGGACTAAGGCGACACGCGGGCAGCTAGGGCAAGGGGCGGCCGAACTTGGAGTAGGGTGCAAGCAAGAGGATTGGAGTGCAAGTCAAGTAATTAGGAGATCTAGTAGATTTAGGATTTTATGGTAGTAGAAGATGTTAGGATATTTAGTTACCTTAGGATTTAATATTTTATTGCTTTAATAAGTTCCCTAGTAAGATTAGGACTAGACTAAGTTAGGATCTATAAATAGGGGTGTTCCCTCATTGTTTTGAATGTCCAGAATTGATGAGTTGTATAGAAAAGAACGTTGTGTTTATTCGTGTGTTTAAGCAAGGCCATGAGTGCGTGTTTATCATAAAAATCGTGTCTAAGAGAAGGCCCTGAGAGCGTCTATTAGTCACACCTATCGTGTTTAGTCGAAGGCCCTGAGTGTGCGATTATTCACAACAAATAGACAGAAACCGCGATTCGTCATCACCGTGCGGCAGCACCTAACAGCGTGCCGCCAGTGGCCACGAATGGAAGAAACGCTAGTGCGCCCGACAACACGCACTCAGACGCGTGCGTACGCTCGCAGCACGTAGCGAGCGTGGGCAGTGCCCCCAGTCGCCCGCAGCGCGCGCATACAACCAGCCAGCAGCGCCCCGCGC